CCGTGGCCGCCAGCGGGTGTAACGGCTTCCGACGAGCAGGCATCAATGGGGTGTGGGGAGATGCCATCCTTTGTGTGCTTCCCAGTGGTGCCTGGCCCTCCCTTCCCGCCACGCGCGGGGGGGGACCCTTCAATGGAATCACTTGCTGAGCTGTAATTTTCCTTCTAATTGATTTCTTGTCGCTTTCTGGGGCGGCGAGGCCCAGCAGGCTCACTAAGCCGACGGATTAAGACATTTCTGCCATCAGTTCCAGCATCCTCTCTGCTGCAGCAAGGTGCCTGGTCCCCGGCTGCCCCATTACCATCATGTCCCCCGTGCAGCCCCCGCCGCTGCCAAGTAGCAAGAGCGAGGAGCCCCTGGGGTCCCCAGAAATGACTTGCTCACACCCAGGGTTGTGCACCCACAAGGCGAATTGGGGAGGAAGAAAAGTAGGGCGGCAGTGATGCACCAGGCAGAAAAAGTTGTGTTAACCAATTTGCACCTCCCCGTCTTTCCCCTTCGGATGTGTGGGGCTCCCTGTGTCCCCCTCTCCAGGTATCAGCACCGATCCCCCGGAAGAAGGGGTCTGACCGCAGCACTCCCACCCAGCGACTGGAGCTGCCTGCCGGTTGCAGGCTCCTAGCTCTCCCCCTGTCACAGCAGGGCACCGGGATGGTGCCTCCTCCCTGCCCGTCAGCGCAAAACCTACTTCTGAGAAGTCACCTTCAGGTGTGCCAAGGAAATCCAATGCCACTGCGTCCCCCTCCATCCATCACCGTAACTCGAGGGCCACAGAGAGCACCCTCTGGCAGCCATGGCCAGGACATCACCGGGTGGCTCCTGCATCCCACCCTCAGCAAGCAAAATGCCAGGCAGGCGACAGCCCCCAACCTGCTGTGTCCCCAGGGGTTGGGGTCCGGTGGCTCGTCGAGTGCCGAGCATCAGGGTCGGCAAGCCGGGGTGGGTGCGTACCTCTCGGCGCGGCTCCAGAAGAGCAGGATGGCTGGCATGGCAGCGTATCCCAGGTTTGGTCAGGGAGCCGGAGGGGATCTCGGCGCACCAGGGCAGGCAGAGCCACCCGTGCCCGTGCCGGCTGGCAGCCGCCGGGAACCCGGCAGCAATGTCATGACTACCCCCAAAG